TCAATTTTTATTGTCAACATTTTTATAGGAAATGCATTTTTAATTTTCTCCTCAAGGTTAAAGGGATAGTTCACCCAAAAATTCAGTCATTATCCACTCGCCACTATTCCAATGGAGGAGTGGGTGAAGTGTTTGAGTCCACAAAACACTTTGGGAGTTTCAGGAGTAAACAGTGTTGCAGACAAATCCAATACAATTGAAGTAAATCGCAACCACTTATTCAAACGTAAAGAAACAACAGGAAAAAAAATCGTCTTCAGGGATTGTCAAAATCCCGAAAATGCAACAATTTCAATTCAGTCCCTGGACTTCCAAATTCTACTGGATAAGGCATGCACATTGAAAGAATGTGTTTGTGTGCAAGCTTTTCCTGGCCAACATTACTCCTCAGTGCAAAGGTAACTGGCCATTGTGGAGGGAAAAGAAAAATAATGAATTACTTTGCTGGGTTTTCTTAAGATCTAAGACAAAAGAGTAATTTAGAGTTTAAGGTTTTCATAGGAATCATGTGAAACCAGCATATGTGTTCATCACAGAAAGTGAGCAGTATGTTGAACGATTCAGTCATTCGCTCTAAAGAGAAAACACTTAACAAATGCAAATCATCAGAGCTGTGGTGCCTTGTGGAGTGATTGTTATGAGGCTGGACCTCAGGCATTGATGTAATGTGGGCTGTGATGGTCTTAAGCCTCAGTTGTACTTCATAGCGGACACATTCACTGACAGCTGCAGACACCAGGGACGTGTGGTTGTTTGCATTATACTCCAGTTGGAGGACACGTTCCTTTCATGTACAGGAGATGGCCGTCAATATATTCTGAGCATGCGCACTACAAATCAAAAGCAACTTGCATGAAAGAAGAAGAGCTCCTTGGTCCCCTGTTATCTCTTATTCTTTGAATTGTCGAGGTGAGGATAGCGTCAAACACCCTCACACAACCTCTCTTCAAATTCAGTTTTTGGTTTTCAGCTCATACATAGTTGGTACAAGTTACAACAAATTGATAGTTCCGCAAAAAAGACTCTCGCACACACACACCCCTCGATGACTAAATTTACGTCACGCAGACCTTAGTGGACCCTTGCGTACTCGCAGATGCGTAAAGCTTGCAGGGAATTTGGAACGTGGATCATTCTGTGGAATACAGATAAGCACAGCTCTTCTGCTCCAGGCGAGATAATTCAATGTTTGTGTACATACTGACATTTTGTGCATCAGTAAAGCCAAAGGGGGAAAACGTCCACTTAATTAAATCAATTAGAGCATGAAGGGCCTGTCAAACCCTCCGCAGAAAACAACATGATGGAACAAACTCACCAACAGCTCAACTCTTTTCATGAGTCACAGCATCTGATGATGTACGAGCTGCAGCCCTCTCTATTCCACAAGTTTCAGGTTTCTACATTTAGAGACTGCATGTATTGCTATTAACTTATTCTTCTTTTATCACTATTATTTTTGACAATTCAAAGTAATTATTATTTTGTGGGGATGCACCAATGCTAATGCACACTGACCTTATCAAATAAAGCCTGTGGCCAATCATCACCAATCCACATTATCATTTACATTGTTGTGGTTACAAGTTAATCGCTGCAGTATAAGAAAAAGCAATTGTATCCAGTGTACTTTATTGATTAAATGATAAATGATTTGTTTGTCATACATTTGGCAATGGTCGTGATTGAGAAGCTGGGGCATTGCATTTAAAATCTCATTTCTGGTTTACTGATTTTCTTTGATTATGCAGAATGGTTTCAGGTCAAATACTTAATTTCTGTGTGTGTGTGTGTGTGTGTGTGTGTGTGTGTGTGTGTGTNTGTGTGTGTGTGTGTGTGTGTGTGTGTGTGCAGAGGCACCTAAGATCCTGGAATTATGCACTTCTTTTACACTCTTCTGCTGAGGAGTGTTTGGTTTCAAGCTCCCTCCGTCTCTGTTAATGGTCCAAAGTACCAATTTTCCGCTACGTAACATGAACCACATACACACTAGAAGACAGTGTGGGGGAGCTGCACATCCTTGATTACAATTTAATGAGCAGTTTTCAGCCTGTTTATAAATTTATGGTCCTGTTTGCCTGTGGAAGGAGGAGGAATCAAATTTACAATCTCTACAGCCAAATACCTGGAAACCTCAGGAAGGCCGACAGAAATCTAATTCCATGAATTAGGAAACAATGGCCGATCATAGAGAGGAAAATTCACAATTGGCTGTATCTTTTTAAATGAATATAGCTTTTACTCCAACATATTTCGAACTCTGGGACTCTGCTCTGTCAGTAATCGCCTCTCATGCCATCTCAGGCCTTGACAACATCACGCACCATCTGTGGCTATAGGGCTTTGAGGGTAAATTTGTGAAGCGTGCCTGTATTCAGACATGAAGCGTCCCAGATCAGCTCCAAACACAAACAATACAATTTTAATGACTTGGATTTAGAATGAAAATAAACAAGCAGCTGCATTCGGTTTTCAAAATAAAACATAAGAGGGGAATAATATGTTGCTTTATCACTGAAGTGAGAAAAAATCCAAACCATCACAGCCCTGGCTGTGGCTGTGTTGACATACTGAGTGTAATGCTCAGATACTGTAACAATGTGCTGTAACCAGCTCTACTTGCTCGCAGTTCCCTCCCTCACTCCCTCCCTCACTCTCACCCCTTCCCTTCCTGGTCTTCCCCTCAGCGTCCCAGAGAGGGATTAGGCCCAGTGCCCAGTGGTGACACAGGGACACTGAGGCCAACAGACAGTTAGTTCAGTATTTGGCCATGACATGGGAACACTCAAGCTGGGTGGCAGAGAAGTGATGTGATGATAGAGGTAAAAACAGAGGAGAGAGCAGGCAAACTGAAAGAAGGAAAAGCTTGAGACTGACAACTGATCCCTGAAGTACTGATAAGAGGAAGAAAACAAAGGATGAAGGTGTAAAATTACAGACAAAAGAGAAAGATGTTTTAAAATAGAAACTTAGAAACTAAGAGTCTGCAGTCATACAACCAGCTCTGTCGGGCTTTACTTACTTACAAGCAAACATGCTCACAATAACAATGATGTTAAATACGATGTTTGCCACAGCCCCCATCTTAGCATGTTGACATGGTAACATACACGCAAAGTACAGCTGAGGCTGGTGGGATTTTTGTTATTTGTTAGTGAATATCAATTTTAAGTGACTGTGGGTGTTTTTTCATGCACAATCCAAACTTGTTTCATAACAGGTGACAGAATCTGACGGGTCCCAGAACAAAACGTAATCGTCGGCCGAAGCTGCGAGTCCTCAAGTTATCAAAAATGCCTCAAGTTCGTACTTTAACGATAATAAATAATATAAGTTGTCATCCCCACTAGACCATCAGTGAGGTATCGTGTCTTCGTAAAAGTGGTCATTCTTTCTATTGCAAAATCCAAACTCATCTTGAGGTTATCAGACAATAGCGAGAACCAATCCCAGATCAGTTAATCATTACACTGTGTGTCTCAATGTGTGAAAGAGTCTGGGATCCTGCTTTTATTTGGACTTCACTACCAACAGTCTCCTCATGACTATTTTTCTATAGCTGCTTTCAGACATGCACTGACCTCCAGAGATTCTGTTGATGTAAGATAAAAAAGTTTCTGAAATACAGGCCCGGCAGTCTCTTAGTGCACATGCCTCCCACATACCTGTCATGCTGAGCGAACCTTGTCCTACACTGTGTTACCATGGTTCTCTTAACAGAGGGTGTGACTGCAGCATAGGTGTGCCACGGAAGTGTGCCTTCAAGTAACCTCGATCAGTAAAGGGAGATCCAAGTAACACAACCTTTTTACTTCTTTTTGTTTGATGGTACACCGAGTTGGTATAGGGAGAATGTTTCCACTTTCATTCACACTTCTTAACCTGATCGTCTGTTGTTGCTCTATGTGTGTTTGGTGAGTGGGACCTCATGTGGGAAACACAGTCAAAGTCATTCAAAAAACAGTTATATTAGTGTGCAAACTTTAAAAAAAACGAGTTTGGAGTGGGATGAGGCAGTCAGAGCTCCAGGGAAGAGATTGTTTATCCCCTACATGAAAACCACATCGCTCAGACCATAAACTTTACACAAAGATAGACAACATGTCTCCCCTTCCTCCCACTATCCATAAAAATGAAGCCAATACGTCCCGGATCAAGCACTGCCATCTTGTGCATTTGCAGCCAGAGTTGCACAAGCAGTTGAACAAACGTGTGTCTGCAAAAGGCGCTATAATGTTACATAGTGTTGCTTTAAAGCCAAAAAAACACAATTTCCACTCTGTTCTTGAGCAAATAAACATCCTGATTTTCAGGACAACCCGTGTAACACAACATCAGACAAGCAAGACAAACCAATGCATCAGTGATAAGAGGAATACACGGTGCTGTTACCACGAGCAGCCACTAGGAACATTGACAACCTCTGCTGCATGTGGCACCAGTCGCCAATCTGTGGTGTTTTGGCCAAATGTGGTTCATTGTGAGAGCTGTCGCGTTCAAAACAGGAGCTTTGGCGTAGGACATTCACTCTATCACTGACAACACGAGCAAAAATGATTCATAAAACAAATGCGCAGAGGCGAGAAATGTAGAAAACTCCAGATAACAGAGGAGATGCGATAGAAATCAGATTCAGACCTGAGCTCACAGGCCTTTAACAAGAGCTGCTGGGGAAATGTTGGAAAACGGAGGAGTGGACACATTAAAACTGCGTGTTTCACTTTGGAGAATTAGAAATGAAACCACGCAGATTTGGTATTTTAATCCCGCGGATCTGGAACACAACGTAAACCGGGCGCAGTGTCTTTAGTTATCAAACCACATCTGAGCGGACAAAGAGGCAGCGTCACGTCCACAAAGTGACACGAGTGACACGCGATCCCTGTCGCAACTTTCCCCGATGTTAGCGGAGACGTTACGATGCGTAAATCACACTTTGAACAAAAACAGACGCCGAAAACCAGCGCTCCAACTTAACACAGTTGACGTTGCGGTCTTACCTTAGTGTTCACTCCAGAGAGAAACCCGCGACACGCACAACACGCGGAAAGGGAAAGCCGCGTGCGAACTGTGCGCAAGTGAGGCCACGCAAATGACGTTTAAATCCACACGTGCTCCGGTTTGGTGCGTGTTTGTTTTCTGTGGAATCAGGAGCTGAACGTGGAGTCGACCTGTGCTCGATTGTTTTTCTGTCGCAGCCTCCACCTCAATCACTGCCAACAAGGTGGACACGAGGAGCGCAGCACTTCCTGCCGTGACTGTCAAAATAAAACAGCACGTTCCGATCAGCACAGGAGAGTTTAAACATGAGCACCGCATTGCACAATCTGATTCGTTTTTCATCAAAATCCATGAATTACTCTCTGAGAAATCAGTTTAACTGTTTAAAAACACCCTAAAAATCCATGAACATAACCTACTTTGTGTAGGTAATAAAGTCACACTGGCTAAATTCATTTTTTGGAAAACTTGCCGAACGAGATCCAAACAAGCAGATTATCTGCTCCATAATTAGCCTACTAATTACAATTCATAACATAGAGCATTTATAATTGAGTAATATCAATCATTTGAAGAAGAATTAAAAACATTATTTTACTTTAAACATCACAAAAGCATATCAGAAGAGGAAAAAGGGGTGTGGGTATATAGACATATGACATACAGGTTGGATATTGCATATCTCACATTGGGTATTTTGATGTGTACATATGTACATGCTCCCGTTTGCACAAACATACGTACCCACACACTAACATATGTTCACTACACTATTATGTATGATATTTACTGGTTCTTATACATTCATAAAGCTTACAAACGTTTGTGTTTGTACACAACATACAATATTCAAGGCAGTTATTGTTTCATATCTTTTCTCATCCACTGGCAATAATTGATTTTGTAAGTCGTTAATTATTTTAAACTGATAAGAAAGCTCTTAGGCCATATGTTAATATGTTGGTTGTGACATCTATATCTGAAGAAATGTTATTTATAATTAACTGTTTTTCACTTGCCTATCTATTGATAGTCAAGGCTATTCATAGCCTTTTATTATGATTATTTTCATTTCATTTATTATTTCGGTTGTTATTGTGGTAACACGTTTTCTTTTTCTTTGTACCTCCTGACTGTACTCAGGGTCAGGATCATTTCACTGAAAAATACGACAGTGAAAATGAAATACTTTAACTTTGTAGTAAAACATCACTTTCGGTGTGATCCTGTTCTCTTCAGTCGGCTTGATCGCCGGTCTGGTTGGTGACGTCACTAAAGAAGGGACCAGGACAACGCCAGAGGAGAAAGACCCTTTCAGGGGGAGTGTTGCGCCTCTTGTTGACAATAATAGGAATTACACCCCAAATGATTCACTTTCACTTTGTTGTATTAAGGTGATTACTAGATCAACCTGAGTCAATTAGTCCCATTCATGAGTTCAATGAAAGCAGACATGATAAATACAGTAATTCATAAACCTCATTCATCTACAGACAGCTTCTATTTCATTAATCATGGCGGAATGAATGGACGAGTTTGTCCCTATCATTTACAGCAAATGAAAAGAAGACAAATACACCAGTGCACAACTCCAAAGATTTATTGAGGTCTATGAGAAATTAGATAATTTGAGTAAAGTTGGCATTTGGAAAGTTCATTGTTGGTTGTATATGTGTGAGGATTTGATAGATATATGTGTATTTATGGCTTTGGCTAGTTTAATTTTAATACAATTTGTCCATCAAATCAAATAGATACAAGTTTAAATGTTTTCAAATGACATGAAAGTTTATTCCAAAACTCCTTCTATCATGGCATAATCAATTAATCCATCCATCCATCAATCTGTCCACTCATCCTTCCATTCGTTCGTGCTTCCATTGTCTATACTGCTTACCTTCGAGGGTTGCAGGGACACTGGGGCCAATTCCAGCTGGAATAGGAGAACCCAGAATCAGCACATTCTGCATTATGGTGATTACAGAGTTTATAAGGAACTTAGGGGCATACACATAAATGATCGTAAAGTAGGGAAGTTTACATCAAGATCGCTGACACATCAGACAATTACATTCACACATTTACTCTCAACCAAACCTCTATAATTAAGCTGTTGGTAGAACGTTCATGAGATCACCCATTCTCAGGGGCTGCTTCTCAGCTCAGGGCCCCAGGGAATTGCCCTCCTGTTGCAACGCCCCTGATTTAACAGATTTCTTAGAACAAATGCTTTAAATTCACTGGCTCCTTATTCCACGAGTGTTTTTTATTCATTTATGTATTGATTTATTCTAACACTGGAAAGAGGGGGAAAAGTATAAGTCTCTTTTTACTAATCACAGAGTCTCACTAAAGCAAATGAAAATGGTTTGATGGTGAGACAACACTTTTCTGAAGTAAACATTGCACCTTGCGGACGTTTGGCTCTTGAAGTATTGGGTTTTCTGTCACAAGGGGGCAGAGCGTCCCTGACAGAAAGCTAGACAAATGTGTGCGTCACACATACCAACATTTCCCAGCTCATTACCACAAAGTCAGGATGTCACAGTAACCAACCCGCTGGTGCCTCTCATTCAGTTCATATCAACAAATCAGTTTGATTAGAACGCAAGTAGGCGAATAAGTACAAGCACATGCTGTTTTGTTTTGAGATGCACTTTTGACAATGGAGCAGATAACTCCAGCATAATTGGAAAGAGCTGAGGTGCATGTTGACACAACAAGACGAAGAACTGGTTTTACTAGATTTCATGGTTGGATTTGATTTGACCTGACATAGTAGAACGCTGGTGGTCTGTGGTCGAGATAATATTTCAACCGGGCAGATTTAAAGTTCCTGTTAAAGTGCAGAATGACAGGAATTACAGTGGATCTTGATTTATTAAACAAGACCGAGTAGCACTTGTCAACACTTTATCTCCTACTGCTGCAACCAGGATGTCTTCCATCTCAGATCTACGCGCCTTCATATTCTCACCAGTCGCTCCACATCATCTGACTGAGTGACCACTGAGAGCCAAGCTACAGTTACAGCCCTGATGAGACTGCCTGTTAATTTTGGCAGAAAGGCGCTCGTCTTTAAGTCCACCTGACTGGAAGTGATGATGTACGTGATGAGGCAGTGGCTCCTCTGCTATGTTTGCCATTCTGCGGCCTGCGGGCCCAGTGAAACATGAACCAGCATAAATGTAGATTAAGTATATGATGAAATGTGTGGCAGTGTCGTCATAAATCACCAAGTTTACTGGTGTGAAAACTACATTTCAGAGAAGACAAAAAATTGTTATCTTTAACTTTTGATTTAACTTTTGATTTAACATTTACCCTGTTGCCCTTTTATTAAGTAGATCCTGCAAAATCTATGCACACCCAAAGAAAATCCAATATTCATGAATGTTTTGATCTGTTTTTATTGCACGTTTCTTTTTTTTAACGTTTAGAATATTTATATACTGTTACATATTTTTGTGTTTTTATATCAATGCTTATGCAAAAACATACCACAGCAAATTTCTCGTTCATGTTAACCTACTTGGCAACAAACCCCTATTCTGATTGTTTTAACTGTTTTAAAGAGGTGATGATTCAATTTAAATGTTACGTTTCAAGTTTTGAACTGATTTGTGTTATATTTTGATTTTTCAATTGAGAAAATCAACACAACTATCACAACTGACAGTCTAATACGCAAACTACATCTGAGTAGAGCACATGACTCTGAATATGAAAAGTATTTCCTGGGACATCCATTTCCATCGAGTTGTGTAACCTTGTTGACAAACAAATGAAAATAACCTCTTTGGTGGAGGTTATTAAATATGTATTGTAAATTCAAATGTGGACAGAAAATGATCAGGAGGCCTAAAAATAGAGTTTGAGTTAAGACTCTGCAAATAATAGAACCATGATAGCAAGTGATTCACATCGTCTTCATGCATTCAGTTGAAACGCTGAAGATTTTAAGAAAAACGAATTCGATTATTTAATTTCTTATGGAAAAGTAGAGTTAATCAAGTTGAACTTCCACAAGGTTTTATTTTATTGTCTTAACATAATTAATGTTTTTTCATAGCTTTTGTTATACAATCAGTCAATTTGAATAACCAGTTACACACGTGGAGCTGAATTACATAATATGGGGAACTTGTGTTCTTCATTCAGTGTGTAACTTGGAAGTCATGCACAGTATATGGACTGTTCAAAGAAATCCTTTCAGACTCTTAATGAAAACCACACAGAGCAGCTTCACATGACCTCGAAGCACAACAAGCTTCTTTTAAAGCATTCAAACATGCTCTGTGTAAAAACCCAGTGTTTACTTTGTATGACATGTATGTATAAAATGTAATTTCAAGGTTATATGGATGTGGATCAATTTGTGAATATAAACATAAGCATATAAACCTAATCACAAACAAATCTGCAAACTTGTTTAATACAAATACCAACGCAAATCAGGTTGTGCTTCAAGGAACCACAGGGTTGCATCATATTATACCTAACCAGTTGAAACAATTGGAAGCGCATGAGTAAAGCAGATTTAAACAAACGTTTTGTATTGTAACTCTCGTTCTTTGAGAGACTCTATCAGTTTCAAACTATTTGTTAGAGAAACCACACCAGTGTTTATTCAAGCTTATGTGTCTGGTAAGTTTGGTCTTAACGACGCTACACAAACGGGGAGAAACATCAGGATTGCAGCTGAGACTGATTGCTTCCAAGTGACGTCATTGGTGCAATATGGCAGTGCTAGCATCCGACTGGCAGAAAGACATTTTCTTAAGGCAGACGTAGGAATATTTTCAATGTCAACATCGCTAACTCAGATACATCAACTAAATGGAAGAGGATTAAAAGATGATTTAAAAGGTCCACTGAGAAGGATTGAAGCATCAATTGACATAAATGTAATATAATGTTCATAGTTGTGTTTTTTTATTCGAGTCGAATCACCTGAAACCAAGAATTGTTACAGTATTTACATCGAGAGAAGGTCCTCTTCCATGGAGTCTGCCATGTTGGACCACCATGTTTCCACAGTAGCCCAGAATGTTCAAAGCAAAGTCTAGATCTAAAGAGGCGAGGGCTGTTCAGGTGCAAGTTCACCACTGGGTGCCGCTAAATCCTATCCACCTTGAACCACTTGGTATACACAGCTGTACATTACTACATTTTCTTCTTTACAAAAGGTTCAACAGGCCTTTCAGTTTCAACTTTTCACCAAACTATAGTCAAATAACTGGAAACCTTACAGCATTACAGAGTGGGGTTCGGTGTGCACAGCTGCCACCACACCTCCACGCAGCCTCAATCTTTCCTCTCGCTCCCCCCACCTAGATCTTTCAGATCTGTATTCTGAGATATGGGGTCCTCGCTGCCAGAGTGCTACCATGACAGCTGCCCTTGCTTTGCAGCAGACAGAATTAGCAAGATAAACAGAGCCAGAGACAGAGGGGCCTAGTTGTTGTCCAGATAAGTGAGACAGTCTTCTTCTTTTACCCTCCATAGAGAAATAACCAACTTATTAAGGCCGGGACTTTTCACTGAAACTTAGTTAGAAAAACATGATGTTATACTGCGGAAGCATCGGGGGCAGCAAAAGTTGACAAAATTGACTTTGCAGAACAAATCCAGGCCAATCCAGTCCATAGATTAGATGGCAATGAAAACTAAATGACGTTGACATATGTGTACAGGAGAAAGCTTTCATGTGGGAAGAGGGCAACAAAATAACGTCAGATCAGTCTGTTAAAAGGTTTTTCCACTTTAAAATATTAAAATTGTTATAAGGATCCTCTGCGTCACTACTTTTTTGCAGGATCTCTTGACACGTGCCTCAAACTGATGCATGTCACCCTAACGTCAAGATGATTCTAGAGGAAAGCGAGTCACTGCAGCCGGTGTCAAGTTGACTGTGTCCGTCACCTGAGAAAGAACAAAGAGGAGCGAGAGAAACCCCAGCGTCTAAATAAAGTTCCCAGTGACTGCAAGGGATCGAAACATCTCACCAATCTCCGCAGGGCTTTAGCAGCCTGCGAACACAACACCAGTCTAAATGACCGAGGCTTTGCCGGGTCATATATAGACCCACATCAGTGCCACGGCACCAAGGGAGGAAAGAGTGAGAATGAACTCAGGAGGCTTTTAATCATCATCATAGGTGACGAAGCAACGCATGAATACTTTTAGTTTGTATTTAAAATAATAATTTCCTGTGCTTATATACAGCCCATTGTTAAAAATCAAACCATCAGTTTTTAGGCTTGTTACCCTTTTCATCTTTATTAGCAGCACTGACAAGGACACACTTCTCCTCTAAACTTGTCAGATAGCTTCATAAAAATCTGAAGAGCCAACATCGTGGTATGTTTCATTATTTCCCAAAATATTTTACGAAAAGTCAAATATACAAATTTCTGCTGCACATCTTTGTATTTTTTCAGTTTTCCTCTTCCTTCAATCATGTCACAACCTCTCCTCTTTATCTGTTGACCCTTCAGAGGGGCCTGACCCTGACTGCAGGACTCAGCTATTCTAACCATATACAGAACAGTTAAAAGTAGCTCCAGCAGCTTTAATAGTAAAACCCTACTTATGAAGTGATGCATCGGTAACCATCTAAGGATACTTACTGCAGTATATCTAGGATGCTTATTTTTACTTAAGAACTTAAAGTGCATTTTATTGACAATGCCTTCAGTGGGGTCCAAAATTCTGACCCCTACCGTAAATTCCAGGTATAACATCCCTACATTGCCGTCAATTTATAGAAAATTCAAGAAAACGTGCAAACACACCGGTTCACAGTAGTAGTAGTATTTTAAGTACTTTTACTTAAAATTTTAAGTGCAAGTTTAAGACTTTGACACTGGTTCTTTAACTCAAGTAAAAGAAGAGAGTGCTATTTCTACTTCTGGATCTGTTCACATGTATTTATATATAAAGATAATTAGGTTTGGATATAATATCATCCTGCAGAATGTTTCACACACAGAGGTGAGATATCATGCAAAGTGATCACACTCATCTGTGTCTGGCTTCAATATGAATAATGGGAACTTACGTGCTCTCTTCTTGCAATAATACTTTTGCAGCTCCTCCCTTCAGTCGTGTCTCAGGACACTCACAAGGCATGAAATGCACCATTAACTTGAACTTAATCCATATGGTTAGTTGGTGTCAACAGAATTGGACTACGCAAGACAAGTAATGACATTATCAGAGCTGTAAATAATCTAATAATGGTACTAACAATAACAGAAAAGTGTCATTCTATTAGTATTATATGAAATATTATTCATTGTGTTAATTAAATGTAAGGCTACAGATAACAACCAGTTAGCTTAGCATAAATACTGGAGGAAACAAGCAAGCAAGCCAAGCTGTATAGAGTTGATATGTCTAAAGTGATCAATACAGCGAGTCTCACTCTGTCCGAGGACCCTAACCCGAGCGTATGAGTGAAGGGATGGAATAATGATCAGCTCCACTTAATCCCAGCAGGACAACAAATAATCAGAAGGTAATCTAGTCAAGTGGGTATCAAACATCTGATGAAAGAGCGATGGAAGTCTCAAAGTCTCTTCTTTGCTCACATGTTAAGCTGTAATTCACCCAATACCCACCGTGGGAGCCGAAAACAATTCTGTCCCTCTTCGTCGGTTAATTGCCCATTTGAGATCTTCATTATGACACTGCACATTCTTTAAAATCAGTGGCTGAGATCTATTTCAGACCATTTGACTGGCAGTGCAGTGAAGTTCTTCCAGGGGATCACATGGATCCTGGATGACACAGAGAAATTCCAGTTCAATTGGTTGCTGTGGTTTTAATGATTAACGGTTTACTGGTGATGATGGGGTCTGCCTGGCTTGACCTTTACACACGGCTGTATTTGCAACAGAAGTAAGCGCCAGGCTTTAGCATCACGATAGCCGTGCAGTGCCCAGACAGCTGCACCTTTATCCGCTGGCTTTAGCAGCTGAGTCGGAGGCCTGGATCCAGAGAGTGGGGTGGGGGAGGGAGGACTGAGTGCCAGCTGAAGGCGGGAAGAAACCAGAGGCTGGGGGGGCCGAGACTGAGGGAATGCCTTGCGCAGTCTTTCAATTGGTCATAAAACAGATTTGTCCCTTGAGGTAGGAATTAGAGCAGATGTCTGAAATGAAGGGAACTGAGCTGAATACTTTATTTCCAATACTGCAATACTACTGCCACAGGAGTATGGTTGATACGTTACACAATGACTTAGCTCATAAGCTAACATAAAGATGCTGAATATGCTAAATGCATTATATTTGCATTGAAAATATATTGAGAAATAAAATAATATATGTGGACCTTTTTTGGACCACTCTTTTTGTGGCCTTGTCCATTATTTATAAGGTGCAATATTTCCAAAAAGTGTTCAGATTATTATATTATTATTATTTATTATTATTATTTGATGCAATCCAATGAACTGTGTTACTAATTACAAATTTGCCATGTAATATTTAACTTACTAGTAATTGACTACATGTCATTGCATCTCACTCAACCCTACCCAAGCTTGGGTAAATACATATTAATATTATTATTTGTAATTGCAATAAATTAGGAACATGGTGAACGCATGTGATTTATTTATGAGCTTCAGTTTCATGGGGTAAATAGCTTTTAAGATGCCACATGTCTGGTACATGCGAACTAATTAAATATATTCCCAGTCTCGTCCTCTGGAACTAGTACAACATCTTCTTCTGTCCTCTTTCTGCAAACCGCCACCTGACATCAATTTGGACCACAAATTCAAATGACACAGCTTCCTCTTTGTCCCAGCTGCCCATTTTAAATCCGTTTAGAATGGTATTCATTAAAACATTGCTGAGCTATTATCTACAGTTGAACACAAACAGAGCACAGATTATTTCTTGGTTGGTCTTTTAGTTTGTTTTAGATTGTACCAAACTAAAAGACCAACTGGTAGCCATGCCTCTGTATAGTTCTAATATACATGTATACACATACAAAGCCAATTAAGAGCCATAGATACATACTGTAAAGCTATTGTTTACACACACAGAAAAACCGATTCAACACTTAACGAAGCACTTAAGTCTTTATGGCCTGTTTCAAATAGCACACTTCAATCTTAATGGAACACTGCTGACGCATTTTCTCTCTGGAGAGAGTCCAGGGACCACCGGGTCAGGAAAACTTACCTCAGAGAGAGCGAGAGGGAGAGAGAGAGCGAGGGGGGGGAGATGAGAGGAGAATTGGGGGTGATGGAGGGGGGTGATGGAGGGGGGTGATGGAGGGGAGTGTTCCAGTGCGAACAAGTGAGAGTGGGGTTGCAGAAAATAGTACTTCAGATTTTCTTAGAAACCATGTGCGTGCCTGTCTTCACTAGACCAGATAACATATGCAACACTTTGGACGTTGGGGAGTAAAAGTGTTTTCCCCTGTGAGGGGGAATATAGGGAGTTAGAGACAGATGAGACACATGAGTAGGGGACAAACGTCACAGGAGAGCAGATCTTTGACATTTGACCCTTGGCATCCTTTCAATCTGTGTCAAAGGCTATAGGAATATTATGTAACAGATTGTGTGTGTGTGTGTGTGTGTGTAGAAAGACAACGATGAGAGGACCGGTTGCCCACTTTCCAGGAGATGTGGCAGTGAGGAGGATAAAAAAAAATGGAAAAACAAAAAGTAAAATCGGAGAAAGAATCCTCAGTATGGAAGTATGTGAGCAAATGAACTACAACTGAGTGACCTTAAAAGGCCATGCGGTCAGACTGGATGAGCGGATGAAAAGCCATGGGGCCTCGGGGTTATCTCTGTGAAGTACGGCTGTATTTATAGATCAGTTAAAAAAAGATATCCTGCTCTCTTGCTACCACTCCCTCCATGGCACCTCCCCCCTTTTCAATTAGCCCCCGATGGGTGGAGTAATGCAATCAGGAGTAACTAAAGTGCCAACGGAGCGCCCTCCCTCAGTCTGCCACAGACTCCGCACAGGCACACACTCCTCAGACAGGAAGGTAAGACCCAACCTCTGTTCAACTGCTCCACTCTCCATCCATTCACCCATCCATCTTCTTCCCCATCCATCCTTTCCACTGGTCTTCATCCACCATGTCATCCATTCCCTGCATGGGACAAAGCTCCTGTTCCTGCCTCTCCTCCCACCTGCTCACGTTCTCCCTCCTTCCACCTGCACAGTCTCCTCACTATTTTACCACCTCCTCTCACTTTCTCCTCTCCCGTCTGTCTCTGAGACGGCCATCCTTTTCATTTTTATCTATTTTTGTCCAGAAAAAATGTACAACCCCCCCTCGTCTACCCCTTGTTAGCATAGAACATTCCAGCCCCCTCTCATCTCTCTTCATCACCCTCACACTTCCCTTTAGCAAAACTGTGTTTATGAAGGTGTCAGCCCTCGTATAAATGGTGGTAAATTCTATTCTGGCAAACTGTTTTTTTTTTTTTTTTTCAAGTGCACAAAAAGGTACCAGTTAATTCAATGGTACAAAGGGAATGGAATTTTGATGAGGATTTCCTCCAGAATTGTTGCCTTTGTGGAGTAAAATTTTTCTATTAATAAGAGGTTGAACTGTCGGATAAAGTAAAATTTGAATTTCTTGATATAGTTGGGTCATATTTTAAAGATAATCTTGTAGATTTTGTGAAAAAATAATTTCAACTCAAATTCTAAAGCTATAAATGCAAAAAGAATTGATTTTCCATGTAAAAACAGGATTAAATAAGCATTTTTTGACCTTTCTCGAGGGACTGGGTGCACTGGGGTCTACACTGACCATGTAACTCGCTTCTGCTCTGTTATGAGAGACTCGTGGATGGAAAGCATCAAAGACCCCAGGAGCTGGGGAGACAGCTGCGTGGCATGTCCACATAGCAAGAGGTTTTATTTGTGGCCATCTAGATTATCCTTTTTTTATTTTTAGGAGTCAGATAAATCCTTATATAAGTGAGGTGAGTCATTGTGGGGGACAACAGACAATGAGGGAATGTAGGAGGGGTTGACCACGCTCGGAGCAGAGAGGACGTGCACGGATTAAAACTTATTTACTGTACTAACCTTCTGAATGTGAGGAACATCACAAATCACTCACAGATCTCATGCTGAACCAGTGAAGGGGGACGACACAGTGACCACACACAGGGGAAATTCTGACAGAATAAACACAATAAAACAACCAGAATTAAAACCAGAAATCCACGAAATAAAGAAAAGCTGTGATAAAAGAAGCAGAAGGCAGGAAAGAATTCACAAATGGGTATAATTTCCCTTGAGTCTTTTACTGAGGAATCAAAGGATGTATCACATGAATAGTAGAGTAAGTGAGTTAGTGAAGAACAAAAAAAAAAAACCTCTGGTGCTATAAACAGCTGAGTGTATGGGAACAATTGACAACTGCACCATCTCTATTTTTTTTCTCATCTTCATCACTGACAAATACGCACACAGTGAAACATGTCGCCTAAACTATATTTGGTGAATGGAGAGAATCTATTCACAGGTGAGATAACCCAGGGGCTCAACAGCCAGACCACAAACAGCTGCAGATTGTGAGTAGTTATTATAACAAGTGCCATTCAAACCTATACTTATGCACACACACACACAGACACACACACACACACACGATGACAGGATACAGTGATCTGTTGCTGACAACTGGAGGTGAGGTGATGGATGGGTCAGCGTACAGTGGCATGGTGGGTGTTGGAATGCGCCGGGTCAACCGTTGATCGTCTCTAAGCAGGACTGATAGCAGTTATTTATATCCTCCTCATCTGTCACCTTCTGCTTCTGACATGAGAACAAAATGAAGGGGGCTGCTGAGAGATGGGACAGGGAGATGAAAGGGGAAAATGCATTGTGGAAAAATCCATATCCCTGATATTATGCTACTGTTTCCAGGGAAATTGTTATGGCAACGAATTTAAAATCTGTACCAAATTGTGATGGTGTCACTTCAGAGATTTTTTTTTGCTGACTAAAAAAGTCTTTATGTAAAACGATGTGTAATCATCATTGCTGCTGTTTCCATAAAGTCACATATTTCTCTGTGTTCTTTGCTCGCTCTCTCTCAGGTTTAGCGACCCCTGTGTCAAAATGACTGAGCGCTACGACTGCCACTACTGCAAGGAGTCCCTGTTTGGAAAGAAGTACGTTCTGAGGGAGGACAATCCCTACTGTGTGAAATGCTACGAGAGCCTGTACTCCAACACCTGTGAGGAGTGCAAGAAGCCCATCGGCTGCAACACCAGGGTGGGAGATTTCACGAGATATACTATAACACACTCGTTCTCTCTCTCTCTGCCAGTTTCTGTCTCGAAATCTAATCAGCATCATTTGGCGTTTTTCTAGGATCTGTCCTACAAGGACCGCCACTGGCACGAGGACTGTTTTAAGTGCTTCCAGTGCAAACGCTCGCTGGTGGACAAGCCCTTCTCCACCAAGGATGACCAGCTTCTCTGCACCGAGTGCTACTCCAATGAGTACTCCTCCAAGTGCCATGAGTGCAAGAAAACCATCATGCCCGGTGAGGAGGACACAAAGAGAGACACTATTTCAAGTCTGGCATATAGTAAAATAAAATGATAGGAAATAATCCAAAATACAGTGTAATAC